AGAAATCTGCGGGAGTTTTCGAAACTTCGCATTTCAGCGTTGCTCAGGGCCCGAAGGCCCACAGTCTGCTCGCACCTCCATGCATTTGCAGCTGCTACTTCGGCGCGGAATCGACGAGTCCAAAATTCATATCTGTCGAGGAGCGTCCACAAAACCTGTGTGCGGTCCTCCTACTTGCTTAGCATTAGTGTTTCCATAATTAATGCTTCCGCCGGGCCTAATTGAGGGCTTGCTTACGACGACTTCCTAGCGAGTCCTCAACCGCATTCTTCGTTTGACTGCAACTATTTCTTCCGGTGCGCTACTCGTCGAGCGGCTCGAACTCTGACGCCCTGACTGAGCTACTACACGAAGTCGCCGCGATATTTTTTGTCAAGCCAGAGTTCTCCGAAAGTATATCGGCCCTCGGTCTAGCGGCGGCTGTCCCCGAAGGAACTCCTGAATTCAACGGTTCCGAGCGAGTGTAACGGGCCCTAACGCAGAGGCTATGCGATGCCTACTCCTGACGCGAACGCACTCAAGCTAAATCCTGGCGGCTCGAGGAAGAGAGCGTCGTCAGACTAAGATAACATCTCCCCGTGTTCGAATTGACTCCCTCAACAAGTTACATGGACTTTACTGTGTTTTTGAACTCGCGCTCTCCCGATGCTCTTAATTCCTCCCCATCTTTCTTTTATCTATCAATTCACGGGTCTAATCCATATCCTTCGCCGTTAGGACGTGGAGAGCGACGCGGTTTCGGACGTACGATCTCTTAGTCCCCCATGCGTTGGTCCTGCCTCCTCCTTCACAACATGAGCAGTCGGAGACGCCGACCTTGATGGAAGGCGCCTCGAAAGAGCAAAAGAGAAATTCATCCGCGAGCTCGTCCTAACATGGATATTTTCCCCGGGGGGACCTCATCGGGGGCGACATACAAGGCCTGGCTTGGAAGTTTGAGCTGATGTCAGTGTCAATCGATCGGCTTCCGATCATTAATGATACCATCAATCGCGCGTTCTCATGAGTCTTGGGCACACTCCGAACGTGTTCTCCATCGATTGAGTTCGGAAAGGCGGCTGATCAGCTAACTTGCTGCGCAGACTAGATCTTTTCACCAAGACATCCGACTGGCTCAATTCAAGGGTTTCTACATAGCATCGCGCAGCGGGGCTGCTACGCAATTCATGAGCGAATAGAAATCGAGCTCTCTATCGAATTCAAAATTGAAGGTCGTAGCAGTTGGAGGAAGATTGGCGTTCTCGGACGCGAATCGGCGAATCCCTGGAAAGGCGCAAGCGAGAGCGATGGAAGAAACGAAAGAAAGTGACGTCAAGGCCCTCGCTTCCTGTTTTGATACGCCGTAGATTTCGGTGGGAGCGATCCTTCTCACTAATAGAGGCATTGGGGCTCCGTCGCCAACGCTGACTTAATTTCCAATCATCCAGATACCAGATGACCTCCGGATCCACAAGAATATTCCTCCACTCGTTCCTTTGAGTGAAGCCGAGCCATGGGTTCGAGGAACTCCGCTGCGCTCTCAATCAATCCCTACCAATTCGAGGGAGGAGTCAGACATGCACTCGTATTCTCCCGGATCGGACTCATCGCATGGCCTTCGCATGACTGACTCTGGATACTCCAGATTCCTGGATCATGGTCCTCGAGAACTCAGTTAGTGCTTGCATTATTTATAGATCCTGCATAGCGTAGCCTGAAGATTAAGTTCGTCGTCAAGGAGCCTCTCAAGTTTGAAAGCTTCCGCTCGGTCCCAGCTCCTAATCGAACCCGACAAAGTTTCAATTTTCCCTTTTCACTAGAAGAACTTACAATCGAGGACGCTCGAGGATGCGGATTGCAAATACCTCGAACACAAGCGTTGAGACAGTTGAAGTGAGACTGCGATCTACGCACGGAGGGGAGCGCGGTATCTGAGTATAGTCTTCCGGCTTTCTCCGTATATCGTAGTCCGTTCCCGACCGATAACGAGTTCTCGAAGCAGAGGGGATCGCTCTGCCCAATAACGAGTCTCGATGAACGGAGTCCGAACAGGACGGTCGCGACGGATCGGAGTGAATCGGCATCAGCCATGCAAAGATTTTGAAACAAAAATGAGATTACGTTCCGGTCGTGGACGGATAATCGCGTTTGGAGCCCGAGATGAAACGTGACCGCTCACTATAGATGCGACGATCAAAACATTGTGAAATCTCACCGGACCTCATCTGGTTATCAGGGGATCGAATATCGGAATCCCGATCCAAAGCGTCGTTTGTTTGGCGTCTTCAGGGAAATGCGGCGGGTGATTTCTGGCTGTTTCGCACTTGGGCCCGACATCGATAGGCAGATTTGGAGCCTGAAGGGTGATAGTGATAAGGTAGAGAGAGGCGGTTCCCCGGCTGGAACCCAATTTCGCTCACTGGCATGAAGGTTCTGTACATTATGTCGGAATGATAACATGACTATGGCTCCAGAAATCACAAGTTTGTGATCAATCGTCCGATGTCCTTCGGTTCGCGGTTATCTGATCCTCGAGGACCTAATTGAGATCATCCATCGTTTGAGTTTTCCATCGTGCGCCGTTTTGTGCTGTTCTGTGCCGCTGTGTGTATAAAGTGGAAGTTCTCGTCATTCGTTCGGACATGATGCAAATTCTAGCTGGAGGAACGCGTTGCCACCCGGACGGACTCGGTGTGTGTTCCGGCTCTGGATCGGTTCAGAGGGAGATCAGCTCTCGAACGATTCTATCAGAGTCCCTCTCGGTGAATCGATGGTGATCATTGATCCGGAAGCTCTTTCCGGATCGGGATGAGTCGAGGGGAGCTTCCCACGGTTGTTCCCATTCAACATTTCGCTTCCGGGGATTCGATTGGGATGAGCTTTGCTTCTGAATTTCTGATGAAATCATCCCCGTCGGATGCGTCGATTGTTTTGAGCTGTTCGATCATCCTAGATTCATATTGGATTCAATTTGGCTAGTATCGGGAAACTAGCGGACGCAGGGAGAAAAAAGTGAAGCATCGTAACGCGCTAGCAGCAGGATGCAGCTTCAGCTTGAAGTGGGTCGAAATTCCTCTGAAGTGAAATCGTGATCCGACTGCCATCTGAAAACGGCAGATGTCTTCAACAGCTCCGTTCCTTCAGCCGAGCGGGTATCGGCAAATACATGGCGAATCGGAGAGGCTGCAGCCTAGAATTCTTCATCGTGACCGAGGTACGTGGGAATGCCAACCTCGCATAACCAGACCTGTCCCGATATCCTCTCGGCTGAGCACAATCGGAGAATGAGGTCAGGCAAGCGTCCAACTTCCCCAAACCAGAGAAGCTCGTAAGTGTATCTTGGGGATCTTTGCTCGTAATGCTGAGCTGTTGTTGAACTCCGGTGATATATAAGTTTCGCAGGGCTCGATCAAGAATTTCCATATTCACATCCAGCGAAAACTCGACTAGATGGTCGTCACAGAACTACGCAGCTACACGGAGGAGCCTAGTTCGTGGAACGCGGATGCCGTCACCATCGCACCGACTCCCGGCATCGGAATCCCGCTTTGAAATCATTTCTCCTTTCCATCTACTCCTAGCAACGGCTCTTATCAGGGTTCCATGAGAATCCCCCTCCTTTCACCAGAAATGTTCTTAACTCGCATCGTGGAGACTTCCGACCTTTGAATGCAAGCGAGGATCCGGAAACCTTGGGAGCAGACTCGGAATCACCGAGGTCGCTCGTGAACATCGAAGAAAAACAGACGAGTACGTCGAGCGCTCGAGTGCCAACCGCATTTCAGGAAGAAGGGGGGGGGGAGGAATCACAAAGGAGCGAGGTATCGTCGATAATGAGCATTGTGTTTTCGAAGCGAGCCGCCTCACAGGAGCCTACTTTGTTACTAGGGCTTTCACTTTTCGTTACGTTTAGTCGGCTCGCCCCATGTATCAATCATATCCTAGAGCAGCTAGTTGAGTCGATGGCATGCTCGCCGGGAGAAGCGGTACTGTTACTCCGTCCCGTGAACAGAAGAAAAATGGTTCTTGCACCCTCGTCACTTTCCGGATGTGAGAAAGGAGAAAGGAGCCGATGCTCGATGGCAGGAGGGCTCCAATGACTTAAAACCTAAGGCTGAAGGTAGAGAAAAGGCGACGCATCCATGAAAGTTCTCGCATGAGGATCCGCGAGAAGTGTCTCCTCTTTCTACACAATCGGGGGCGGAGAAAAGCGCAACCTGAACAGACACAGAACTGAGCCAGATTCAGGTGGGGAGGCCATGAGGCACCCAACAACAAACAGCTCTCGCTTAGAACAAATCCACGAATACTTATCAATCCAACGTTCGCGGAGCCGGTAATAAAATCGGAGATTCTCCGCCGGTTGAACTTTCGCTTCACTGTCGCTAGGATAAACCATCCAGAAGGAGGATTTTTGAAAGAAATATAGGTATACGCAAGCGAATATGCCAGTATTGGACATTCTCGAATGAAGGAAGACAAGGTTATCCCTCGGTTGAGCGAACGACTTCTATTTTAACCTTATTGTCACGTCTAGCCCCCCGATCCGGGATGAGAATCGCTCCCGACGGATTCATTCAGTCGACTCAATGAGAGAATAAATCATCGTCCACAATACATATCTACAGACAGGTACAGATAATTTTCTGGGACACAACCTTCGCATGTTGAAGCTTCTGCCACACTTATTTTAAATCATTCGTTCTGGGAGCTGTCATTTACAAATTAATTTCGAATTGGATACTAAATGGTTCCGGTTTCGTTTCTTTAGATTATGTTTCATCTCCAGTGCCGAAACTTTAACATTTATTCGATCCCTAGATAAATGGGGCGAGCATTCTGTGGGTATTCTTCGCTAGGGAAAAAAGTTGGCACTCTCATCCAGGAGTTAACATGTCCTCCTACTGCTGCTGCTTTTGCCGCCCCACCGCTAAATCACAACGAACATATAAATAGCGCAGGCGATCATATAAACACAACATATTTGAGCATTCTTCGGTCACAAGCCGTTAGCGAGTATCGTTCCTCTTCCGCTTCGGATTTCAGTAAAAGCAGACAAGAGTATCTGAGATGTTTCTATCCTTCAATTGTTAGATCGAGATCGAACTGCGACAATTATCGCTAAAGACGATGCCCCAGGGCTCCGTCGATTTCCTGTTTAAGGCTCTCAGGCACGGTGAAAATCACGTCACAATTATCTACCAAGAACGTCATAAACATTGTCGTCTGCTGAAGGTTAGTCCGCGACGCACCGATCAGACACGTACTGAAGGTTTCGATCAATACCTCGTGATTGGATTTGTGGTTCTTGAGCAACAACGTACTGTTCTGACCGACCTTATACATGAACCTCAATAGGAGGTGCATCGCCCGGCGATTTCGCGTCGACAAAAGGAGATACAGGTGTTGCAGCTGTCGGATGACAAGCTCCTTTGTCGTCTGAACTTCTTTACAAGATCGAGCTTTCGCTTCGGAGATCGCGCTCACACCCGAGCTGAGACTCGACGAGCTAGCAGAGAATGCTGAATTTACGTAACATCCCACCGCACTGCCTATCCGCCGAACGCTTGCGGCCCTGACACACGTCTGGATCAAACGTTCCGGCCGATAAGGTCTCGGCATAGTGCTCGGCGTTTGGGTAACGTATCGGGGAAGAGGGGTTTTCCGTGCCGTGCGAGGCATGATTTTCGTCTCAGGATTCGCAGTGACGAACGCGGTTTCGTACTGGACCGAAACGGGCACCTCGGCTTCCTCGAGCGTTCCCATGATCGGTGCGAAAGCGGTCAACGAGAGCTCGTACAACGGTCTCGAGAGCAGAAGCCGTCCCCGGAAGTATTCGAGGACTACCTTGAGCACGTCGCTCAAGAAACCGGGATATCCCGGATAACCCTGCGCCGACTGAGGCCACTTGGCAAGGCACTTCATAGCATGCATGACATACGCCGGTACATCGTCGCCTTTGGTTCTCGGCAGGACGATTCCAGAAGCGCTGACTTGACAAATGTTGTGGCAAATTTCAGCGGGGCAAAAATCTGAGAAAGTCAACGAGAATGAGCTTAGTACGTCCGGCGTGCCGTAAAACGAGTTGTGCGTGCCTGAAGCGAACAGTTGTTGAACCCGAGCCCAGAGCAGGTGTTGGGAGAGCGATGGTAAATCCGACAGGGGTAACGGGTTCTTGGGCGAAGACGAAGCGGTTGGGTTGGGGGGAGCGGCCGCTGGTCCGTAAGTCACTTGGCGGTTGCCGCTTCTTACCACCAGTTCGGCGGTCGGAGCTTTGGGCGCGACGTTTTCTTTGTTGAAAGTGTACAGCTGCGTGTTCGAGTCTTTAAACGAAACGTTCCGGTTGCGAACGTCCTGCAAGATTTTCTGGTCGACGAACTTCTGTAACAGCAGCACCACTTTTTCCCGGGTGACTTCTTGACCCGGACCCAAGAGATCTTTATTCCGTTTCAGGTATCCGAGCATCCAAGCGACCGCCTCCGTTCCCGTGAAGCAGTTGTCGAACGACTTGAGGCCCTTGCGACGTTTCCCGACGGGCATTTCCTGCCGGATGGCCGCCACAATCGTATTCCAAACCTTGGTGGCGCGGAACTGATCCGAATAATTTGCGTTCGGGTCCATGGTTTTCATCGCTGGGCTCGATCTCGGACAGCATTCGCTGAGAGACCGATCGAAGGAGCGGAGACACCGGAATCCGGAGAGCGACGGCACACACCGTTCACGGGAGGTACAAACGGACGAACGACCGGACGGACGGACGACTCTGGTGTCAGATACAAAGTTCGTTACAAAATGGCCGCGTCGAAGTCACATATCGACGGCAATCGTTCACAAGTTCCTTGTTATCAGACCAAGCAACGAGACAAGGGCACTGAGGACATTTTTCAAAACATCGCTGCTAGACATCGGCATCATCGCCTGCATCAACATCATCATCACACACAGCTGAGGTTTCGCTCCCCGTGTGGTGCTGCTAGCAGAGCTCTTCGGCGGTTTGAAATCTTCCCCCTCGCTCAGGCTTTCGCCGCCGCCACCACTGCTGCCGCTCAGCGGCCAGTCGGGGAACCAATCGACAGAACAACGGATCACTGCAGCCTGCGGCGCGGCGGCAGCAAGCCACGCGCTTGGACGACGACGGACGGGGGAAGCGGCCGGGGATCTCGGAGCCGTAGCGCCAAGTTTCGAATTGAAGTGCCGCGGAACAGCGCATGCGTCCAACCGTATCACAAGCGGTGCTCAGTCGCCGGCGACACATCCTGATAAGAGAAGCTGGAGCTGGAGACATCGTCCGGATTCCGTTGGCTTCCGTCAAGAGGAGCAGAGTGAAGTCAGTCGGTTGCACTACGCGTTTCTAGTCATTCTGCCAGGCCCGGTCCCCCTTTCGGTTGGAATGATTGCCTCGCGGTGATGACCCAGGGGAATCACAATTTAGCCCCACTGCGAAAACGAAACACTCATGGGCCCTTCATGCCGTCCGGATGCGTCACCGGTGATTCATGATTCATCAACTGTGCGCGAATTTTTCCCTCTCGTATTCCTCAAGCTCGAATCGTTCAACCCTTAGGAGATCTGTGATGAGCGGGGATTATGCGCAATACTCATGCATCCACTGATTCCGATACCAGTCGTCGGCGAATCATCAGGAGCCTGCTCCCTCCTTCGCTGGACGACGACCAGGGGGCACGGTCGAAGGAAGATTTCAGAGAACAAACTCATCGAGGTAGGCCTCACTGGCCACACGAGCTCGGTTCTTCATCGCTGCTCCAGGATCGTTGTAGAATCATACCCGTCTGTATCAGAACAGATTGATTCCCCTCTATATCACTCTAGGAATCAAGCCGCTTCCGCAGCCACGGGAAAATCCCCGGCCGTACTTAGCTTCAGATTGTCGCTTGAATAAGCATTTTCTCCGAAATATCACACGGAGAAAACCAGCGAACATCCCTTGATCCAGCAGGAGTCACGTGTTCTTATTGACGTTGCGTCTCAGGGTGCTAGCGATGCTCGCGAGAGGTTCCCGAAGTTCTCCGGCGACATAGAGGATACAACGTGCTGCTCGTTTATAACTAGATACGAGGAATACACGAGAAATACACTGTGGGCTGAAGTCGTAAATGCAGGGAATATGAGCAAAAAACAGTAATATTTCCGATTGGGCTCATATCGCCCACGTGCAGATGGCGCCTCCTACGGAGCGAGACCGGGGAGTTGCCGTCGGGAAGACCCTGTCACCTCAGAAGTCACACGAGAGTCACGTGTGGAACAGAGAGTCGAGTGCCGGCTTCCGAATATGCATGAATGCCGCGGCATCACGGAATCCTGGCTCTTTAGAGGAAATGAGTCTGCTGACGCGTCGGCTCCCGAGGATGCCAGAAAACCCTCTCCTGAGAATGAGCGGAACTGCAGAGTTCCACAAAACTTGTTCCCGAGAATGTCGCGATTGATTTGTCACTGGTGTTCGCAATTAGAGTCCAGTCATTCCAGCACTTGACTAACTAACGGATGTACGGTACATATCTATTCTCGCAGCTCTCGATCCCCTGAGCAAATGGTTGAGGTCTAACCTTGGTCATGCAAATCCGGATATCACGGGAAACTAGCTGTGGATTGGGAATGCACTGAATGCTGTCTTGTCTCAAGAGCTCGATGATTGGAACCGAAGTTCCGAGGCTTTGCGTCCCACCTGTTCCGGAGAGAATTTCGCTTATCCATCTACATAGAAAGACTGCAGTCTGGAATTCCGTACGGCGTTCAAACCACGTAGTCGATGGACGATCCCTGGTGAGTGATGAGACCCGATTGGGGTTATGCGCACGTTTTCACGCGGATTCTCACGTATGGAGCACTCCTGCCTGACTCCGTGGACCATCGTCCTCGGCTCCCACTGAGCACTGAGCCGAGGGAGGCAGGACCAAAAGAGACGCGTCCATCGGAGTATCGCCACCTGCCACCCATAGTCTCCACTGACAAGAACCGAAAGGACTGGAATGACTTTTCTGTATACGGTAAATCATGTTCGGAAAACAGACCGGAATGCTTCGTGGGAGGGGCGCGATCTCGTATTCGAAAACGCAAATATCCGATGAACGTTTTCAGGAGTAGACTCGCACGCCCTCCATTCTAATGAACGCGGTGATTATTCATGGCTCACTCTGGGGCTTGTTACAGCAATTTTTGAAGGACGAGAAATTCGAGATTCATTAGAAGCTCAGAGAACACGGCTCGATACGTGTAATGGAGCTTCAACCGAGCGACTCAACGGATGAGTCGGTGCAGAGGAAGGAGTCATTCAGACCGGAGAAGCCGTTCCCTTGTACACGGAGGCCTGCTTGGAGGAAATGCGGTCTTTGGAAAACGTCACCTTGAAGATCTGCTTCACAGAGGTGAGATCATTTCCCTTCATTCTCACGAACATATTGCACATATCGTTCTAGGATCGATTGTCCGGGCGGAGATTCGATGGTCGAGCTTCTCTCACGGGGGAGATATCGCCAGGTCTTCCCATACGTCGTCAGCGTGGGGGATGGAATCACGCCAAAAGGCATGCAGGGATCGATTTTCACGAACATCACAGAGTCAATGGGGCTCAAATGGATCCGCGTGCCCGCGCCGAACAACAAATGGGGAGAGTGCGACATCAACGGGACGTGCCACGGTCAGCTCGAGCCTCTCAAACAAGGTGTGAGTATTCTCCTCGGGCTGCCTTCGCTATCAGGCGGGGAAATTGAAATTCTCGTCTCGACAGACCGCAGATATTGCATTGGGGCCGATTGTGCTCTCGAATGAAGTGTTCACCACTCTGAGAAGCGGCTGGCCTACCTACTTCTCGACTTTGGACCTCCTCGCCGGTTTCAAGAGCCCTTTCAAGTCTAGGGGTCATCTGGGTCTCTTCAATTTATACCCGATTCCGGTTAGTTTGGATATGATCGTATGTTGGACTCTCTCCCGATTCGAACTCTTCAGGGTTAGGTTAGGTCCTTGTTCAAATCCTCTACTTGCGATTTGACACTAGGCTATGCACAGCCGAATCAGACATACTAGCAGTGGCGGATTTACCCAGTAGGTTTAGTTGGCTATGGACTGGGGCGGCAGTTTCCGGAGCGCGGCGGAGCCCTGGTTGGCTCTTCTGTGATCCTCGACAAGTCACTCAGTGAAATCATCCGGGACCGAGACGAGGACGTCAACTCTGTCCAAGATCTCAAAGCTGCCAGATTAACGGCGGGGAGCCGTCTCAGAAACGAACAGCGAGACATGATTTCTTGGATACCCGATCAACTATTTTGGAAAGGAACTCTTCTTTTTCTTCTTCTGGGATAGACTGGATAAGTGTAGACAATTTCCAAGTCTACGGATCCTTAGGCTCTTTGTGGAATAGAAAAGAAATCTCGAAAACTTGGAGCAAGCGCCGAGAAGAATCGGGATTTATTCCCAGACGGGAATATATTCAATCAGGGCGGCGGTCTTGATTGAACATTGGGGCGGCGAATTCGTGAATCCGCCGCTGCGAACGAGAGAACTCATTCGCCCCGGTCAGAGTTAGATGATCAGACGGCGAAAGCGCCAGCGTACGGCAGGCTCATGCGACATCGACCGTTCCCCGTATGTCCTGAATAGTGATAATTCTGAGCCTCGGAGAGTGCATCCGCGTTCCTACGCTGGGGAGACCCGGCCGTTCCCCGTCCACGAGCCTAGTGGGCCCTCGTCAACGAGAGAGAGAATGGTCACAAGTGGGCATCCGTTGCGTTCCTCGTCAGACGCGCAAATACGAGCTCGGAGGAGTTCTGATCAATCGGAAGTACAGAAGCCAAAGTCTCAGTGCGAGCGAGGAATGCATGCGAGACAGTTTCAAGGGAGTCTCCCAGAAGCTCGAGATCGAATCTGGGCACGGAACGTTCTCTGTGACTGATTGAGAGACGGACATGGTGCGCACGCGCTTCTCGATCAGATTAATTCCGTGGACGACATGCCACAACGAAGAAGAACCTGATTCTGATTTTTCCTGTTAGCGTACGGACCTGCCGATCGGAAGCTTCCAGCTCCCCGGTGGGATCATGAGCAACACTGATTGATTTATCAACCATCCCTGGTGTTACAAGACTTACATTGTATCCAGGAGACCCCATTCGCGGGGGCGAGTCTTCTCAGCAGGTTGGCGATTCCGACGTTTGCAGGGGACGTATCTCTTCATGTATCACTAGATCACCCTTCGTATTTCCCTGAGCTCAGCTCGAAGCAGCTCCGCCCAAGTCTAAGAAGCTTCTCGACAATGATTTGCCTTGATTAGAGAACATCCGCGAGTCGATGGATTCGACTCCATAGTTCCCTGTGGGAGTTCCGAAGAAGAAACTTCGGACGCTCTCACAGCATTGCTCTCTGCGAGGAAAGCGAAGTTCCACCAACGCGGTGTCCATAGTAGTTCGTTTCGGCACAGTCTCTAGCTGGCGATGGATATCCGACAGTCCACTCGGAAAGTGGTAGAATCCTAGAACCTCGGGATCAGGAGCATCGGGAACCGAGCGCGGTGCACTCACCCGCAAAAATATGGATTATTACCTCCTGAGAGCAATTCATTTTTTCCCTCCCGCAGATATGGGCTTCCATCCTTCTCTGCCTCTTCATCCTACCAGTTTTAGCGAAGCTTCTGTCGAGATTCGGCACCATCGCCGATAGAGCTACTCTCGCCGAACATTGGTCGTCATTCATGGAGATATTCCTACTGGAGTGTGAGTATATGAGACGATTAGGTACCATGTACCATATATACATCCCAGCACGAGTTTCCGCTGTGCACAGCAGATTGCGGAAAACGCGTCCCCAGGTCCATCGTTCCAGTATTCGACGAATCCGATGCGAGTATTGTTCGCGAGTTGGATGCTGGCAGCTTTCGTCCTGAGCTCGCTCGGCAGTGCGACGCTCAAGTCTGTCATGACGGTCATCAGTCCCGCGAGTAAGCTCGAAACACTTCAAGACATCCTCCGTGTCGATATCAGCAAGACCACCATACGGACGACCGCAGGCACCGGCCTCATGGACATGCTGGAAGTAAACAATGAGTCGAGATCGAGGCGAGATAAAATCGATATACCGCGCTGCTCTCGCGGCTCTTGGTTTCTTCGAGACCGAGTCACAGGGGCTTTGCGAAATCCATTCCTATACATGAAATCAGGTATAATGGAAAAAGATCCTGTCATGAAACTGGATGGCGACCGCAGCTCCTCTCTTCAGACCTCCGCGCTCGAACCAATAAGAAGTCTCGCGAAGAAGATCATCGACAGTGAGGGCTTGACGCACCCGCTGGACATCGGGACCACTTGGATGCTGCGGGAACTGGAAACGGAGAAATCCGTTTTCATCCTTGGCTGTGAAGTGGTGTTCCCCTTCCTCTACTCGCCGCCATCACTCAAACTACAAGGAACTCAAGGATACACCTACTGCAGCAAAGACGTGATGGGGTTCTATCTCTCAGGCTGGGTAGCTTCGAGAAGGAAGGACCCCATATTCCAGTTCATCCTGGACGAGTTCGACAAGCGGTGATTGACAAAGACCATCTCTGATACCATTGATAGCGATAGCTGATTCTTTACTTTTGGCGAATGATGAGCGCGGAGCTCGGAGCATCCGCTCGCAGTCCTCCAAGCCTAAAACTTAGCTTTTCACAGAATTCTGTGGATCATGGAGTCGCCCTTCCCGTTCATATTACACCATGAGAATGAATCCCCCCTGCTTGCCGATAGGTTCATAAATTCGAGAGATCTCGCGCAGCCTCCTCCGAAACCAACGTCCTTCGATGAAGTATCGGGAGTCTTCATAGTTTTCACTGCTCTATGCGCGAATGCGATAGTGGTTTTCATCGTAGAATCGCTCCGTGGGCTGCCGAGAAAACCTCCGAGGAGCCGATAGCAGGGGCAGGTACGACTCAGTCATACAGATGATATGATCACGATATTAATCACAAAACCGTATGACGTCCTCAAAACGATCCGCGCTGGAACGAATTTCCGCTTCGACGTACGATATTTTTCCATTCTGATATTCTGGTCGAATTCTCGAAAAGCTGATGGTCGAACAAGTTCGAATGCCACGGGCATTCGTCTGAACGATTCGTTTTCGCAGGCGCCAGCGTACTCCTTGAAACGAGATTACCTATTCTCCATATATCCATATCCATATCTATATCTATCTATCTATATATATAAAAACGTATGTCTGTCTGTTTGTCTGTTTGTCTGTTTGTCTGTTTGTCTGTCTGGTGTCACCTATAGACTCGAAAGCGGCTGAACGGATCGTCGTGAAAATTTAGGAGCGTGTTCTGGGCGATCCAGCGGTGGTTATAGGGGGGTCAGTTCTCCGATGCGATGAGTCGTTCTACCTTAAAAAAATTATTTGAGTGCTCCACTGACGAAAATACGAAAACTCGGAAAAAAATTGAAAAATCCGAAATTCGCAAGATTCACAAACGCCTGAACCGATCGCCGCAAAAATTCAGGGGTGGATTCCCGGGAGCTGTAGAAAGGTCGATGAGGGTCGTCGTTCTCGTGTGATGGGACTTCCCTCCATGAAAAAATTATTTGAGTGGTCCTCTCATCGAGAATCAAAGATTTCATCAAGGGAAAGACGGGAATTCGATTTTCCGGAGGACATCTATATATATAAAAACGTATGTCTGTCTGTTTGTCTGTTTGTCTGTTTGTCTGTCTGGTGTCACCTATAGACTCGAAAGCGGCTGAACGGATCGTCGTGAAAATTTAGGAGCGTGTTCTGGGCGATCCAGCGGTGGTTATAGGGGGGTCAGTTCTCCGATGCGATGAGTCGTTCTACCTTAAAAAAATTATTTGAGTGCTCCACTGACGAAAATACGAAAACTCGGAAAAAAATTGAAAAAATCCGAAATTCGCAAGATTCACAAACGCCTGAACCGATCGCCGCAAAAATTCAGGGGTGGGTTCCCGGGAGCTGTAGAAAAGCGATGAGGGGGTCGTCGTGCCCGTATGATGAGGATGAGCTCTTTTCCCTCGGAAATTGAGTACCGGGTCCCTCACCGGAAATCGTTCGGCGGGAGTTTCCAGAGTTCTCCAGAATTTTCGTGATTCCTTCACATAATCTATAAATTTGTCTGTATGTTCCCTATAGACTCGAAAACAGCCGAACCGATCGTCGTGAAAATTTAGGAGCGTGTTCTGGGGGATCCAGCGGTGGTTCCCCGATGCGATGAGTCCTTCTTCTCAAAAAAATTATTGAGTGCTCCACTGACGAGAATACGAAAACTCGGAAAAATTTGGAAATCGCAAATTCGCAAAATTCACAAACGCCTGAGCTGATCGCCGCAAAAATTCAGGGGTGGGCTCTCGGGAGCTTCAAGAAGGTCATATCAGGGTCGTCGTTCTCATGTGATGGGTCCCCCCACCATAAAAGAAATATTTGAGTGGTCCTCTCACCGGGAATCAAAGATTTCATCAAGGGAAAGACGGGAATTCTCAGGATTTCTTATCGGCTGGACCGATCGCCAGGGAGCTCCTGAGAAGGCTAACGGGGGTTGCCGTCATCATTGGACTCTGTCTTTCTACTAATGAATCTCGCCGAAAATTGCTGTAGCCGTGAAGGGTATACATTTTCCGCAGAACATATGGAATAAAAGCGGGGAAAGTGGGGAACCGGGAAAGTGGGGAGACGGGAAAGTGGGGAGACGGGAAAGTGGGGAAACGGGATGTTGGAAAAACGGGGGAATGCGGAGACGGGAAAGCGGGAAACGGGAAAGTGGGGAAAGGGGAAAGTGTGGAAACGGGAAAGGGGACACGGGAGAGCGGGGGAACGGGGAAACGGGAAAGCGGGGAAACGGGGAAACGGGAAACGGGGAAACGGGGAAACGGGGAAACGGGAAAGCGGGGAAACGGGAAAGCGGGGAAACGGGAAAGCGGGGAAACGGGAAAGCGGGGAAACGGGAAAGCGGGGAAACGGGACGTTCACCAAGAGCACGCGCGACCAAAGCAAGCGCACCCGGAGCCAGCGCACTCGGACCCAGCGCACTCGGAGCCAGCGCAC